CCCAAAACCCCAAAACCCCAAAACCCCAAAACCCCAAAACCCCATTCCTCTATTTCCTCTCTTTGGTTAAATAAATCAAGTAATGGGTGTATGGACTAGTTCACGAGTGATAGTAATTTTGAGCCAGCGAATTCTCTCATGCATTGAAAATTCAAAGGATCTTCAAACCTAAGGGTGAATATTTTCATGATCTTCTCTCTCAAGGAATAAAGGCTTTCATTAATTATTTCTATATATAAGGTGAATAAATTACAAAATCAATAAACAAGTAAAAATTTATTTGTAAATTTTACCTTCATGTGCTCTGTTTCCAGTATCAATGAACATAACTTGAGACTCTAGTTCAATATGAATTGAAGCTATTCTCTGAAAATTTGTTATAGTCTGAGAGCCAGTAGTTAACTCCCAACCAAGGTTGAGAGAGGAAATATATCCTATACAGATGTTAGCATAAGAAACTCGAAATTATGCTTACCTAAAGGAAATTGGAGTTGATTGAGCTCTTGTTGTATTTCTTCAATGAAATTTAATCATTCTTCCGAATTTTCAACAAAAAATGGTAGATTCCCTTCTGTTTTTATTGATTCTATTAATATAGTATTAGAAATTTAGTTGGTATTAATTCTTAGAATCATTAGTTACTTATCACTATCATGTCAATATCTTCTGCAGGAGATTGGGAAAGCAAATAATTAATGCGCTGATCTTGGGCATCAGTCTCATTTCTATAATTTACCTGATTCATTTACCTTTGAGAGTTTGATAAATTATATGGAATCGGATTCATTTTAAAGCTTAAATGTTTATAAAAATTCTGCCCAAATTTCTTATAAACTGATCAGAATTATTTTTCATGTAAAAGCTTCAAAACAGATCTAAAATTTTCTATCAAATCTATATTCTTGAGTTGATGTCAATTTTAGAATTTGTACATGAATGGGTATAATATTTAGAACATTTATATGTATTTTCCCCTTAATTCTATTAGTGTGCAAGGAGTCGGGGTTTTGGGGTTTTGGGGTTTTGGGGTTTTGGGGTTTTGGGGTTTTGGGG